TATTGTTTTGAATGTCATTATGTGGTGGAGATGGAGGTGTGTTTCTCTTCTTCTGTTCTGTATTATGTAGCCAGAAAATGGTACATGTAATATCATGAACATATTGAAGATCAACACAACATATTTATAAAAAGAAAAATCAAAACATAATACATATGTCAATTCCATAAAGTAGAGTTAATCTTAGAGTTATAATTTTGATGCACTTAATAATGCAGTCAGACACAAAAATGATCATTATTACAGTTTGAAACTGAATCAAAATATCAAGACAGTGAAAAAGACACCTACAATTTATACAATTAAAGCTGCCATTGCCTATGTTTCCACTGACTTCACAAATACCGAAAATTACTAAACCTGACAAAGTTTTAAATACATACATATTAATGATACAACATAGAGAGATGGCCAAACACCAGCTGATCACAATTTACATATGATAAATTGCATATATATTACACATATTGTCACTAGCCATTAATTTTGTGCTTTTACAGTTCTCAAGGACTGGGCACTGTACATTCAAAGTATGATTCCTCTAACATTTACTTGATACAGTTTAGTTCTATACCACAAACTGTCTCTTATATGACAAACTGTTTAATACATAAGCATTGTGCCGACACATCTGGACTTGCACACCACTTCCCAGGATTTTATAACTACATTCACTATAGCACAGAACAAGATATAAGCTTCATTCATAATTTATACATGTCCTTTCATAATCATAAAATATCAAGGTTCAACAGTTCATCAGTTCAAAATACTTTTCATGGTTACCTCAATGAAAGTTGTGCATTTTCCATATATCACCATACATAAATTTTTATTTTAACTGAATTGTGCTAGTTTGTTCCCACCTCACAATCTTGTTAGTGTTGGTAATATGAAAAAATGGATTATTATAGTCTGTACATAATATCAGTACTGATTGATGGATATAAGTGGATCATTCATAGTGAACCCTAATGAGACATTTTCTTTAGTAATTTTTGTTTTCATTATATTCAATATTGTTTTTTGCATGTATTTAAATTCAGGCCAGCTATTTTCCTTTCATAATTGCATCATTGTAGGGTCTGACCATCTCTAAATTTAACACAAAATGTTACCTTCTAATAGGTGTTACATAACAGTAAGAGGTAAGGTAAAGCTGCCTCCTCAACAAGCTGTGGAGGCCCATAGGGTTGTGAGACAATGAGGCTCACACATTTTCTAGACAGTCAGTTCACAGATTTCAGTAAGATAATCAGCCTTATGCGCTGGCTGCCTTTCACCCCAGGAAGATTTCTGGTACTTATTTCTTTTAAGGGCTGAGTTGACCCCAGGGCCATAATGCAGCTGGAAGGATTAGGTCAATTGAGAATCAAACCCACAACCTTCTGGCTTACAGCATAGGGCCTCAATCACCTGCACTACTGCATGCCCTCTACATATCAGTAAGTTACTTCAAGTTATAGACTAGACTTCCAATTACAAGAATGTACAGAAAATTGTGTGAAACCATCAACAATTACACAAGTATAACTTTGTCTGGTCTTATGCCAGTATATATGAAAAAAACATTCCTTCTTGCATAATGCAACATTTTTCAACACTTACTATATGTCTTCACAGTAAGAAGTGAATAATTTTTCATTTGACAGCATAATAAAGTTTTTCTTTCTTTGAATACTAGTTGCAAAAACAACATATAAATTTGTCTATTTTAGTCTGTCACCACAATAGGTATTATAGACAAACCACACATTTGACCTTCAAAATCCAATAACTGATACCCTATACAAACATCATATTAACAAGTAAACATCCCACCAGATGGCATGACCTTACATACACTATAAAACACATGGACTCCCAGACATCTTAACACCAGTCTCACAACCACCACATACAAGACACAACATTTCTTCCAAATACAAGGTAAGAAACAATTCTAATACCAAATTTCAATACATAACTCCCAAATCATGCACTTATATATTAAAGAAAACATATATTTTCAGGAACAGGAACAAGAAGAAAATGCAATCATATACCTGCAAGCCAACAAAACACATACCATCAATACAAGGTAAGAAAAAACATAGCTTTCCCCAACATATAAACAAACACACATGTATATTCTCATAAAAGCATGTTCACATTCCAGACCAGGAAGAACCCCAAAGAAATACATCAGTAGGAGAGGCACATCTACACACAACTGCTGCATCCAGACAAAACATAAGAAAATTTTATATACATTTTATTTTAATGATTTAACATTTTAACAATTAATATTTAATCTTAAAGGCGAACATACCTTTTTAGATATAATGGCACTAGATACCACTAAACACACAGTATTCCAATATGTAAACACTTGCCAATGTAGGAATACTAGCAGACAAATACAGGTGAATGTAAAAATCATACCTGATGATGGCTCAATAAGCCAAAACAGTAAGAAAAGACGGATGTATGGCATGCCTATGCTACCTATTGTGGTGACTGAATAAAACAAATTTCACACACACAATATAACACTAAGATATAATTTTTCTAACAACATATAAACTATTGGAACTTAAGTACACTAACTACAATAATTATTAACAAACTTCAGCATTCTTCTGTTAAATAAAATATCATTTGTACAAAATTGTAATTTATATTTTCTGCTGTATATCATCAGAAATAAGGACAAATTGTATTTTTATATTGACACTCCCAAATTCATTCAGTCCTTGGATATAGTAATAAGTAAAGATGTGGGAGTCAGAACAAAGAACCAGCATAATGCAAATGCACAAAATGTAATTTTGTTAACACTGATAGTTATCTGGCAAAACAAATTAAAAGGGTCAGTAAATTATTAGTATGTTAGATTTGAAGTTCTCATAGTGGGCACTGAAGAGTACTGTCTTCTGAGATATGATGCCATGCAGCCCAGTATAAGTTTACTGACATTTCTGAGGAACTTTTGAGTAACTTCAGCAAGCTGCCTGCTTGGCTTGTTCTTCAAGCCTGAACCGGAGGAAATGCATTCCTTTGAAATGCTGGTAAATCTGTACCACAATGTCACATCCCAGAAGACAATATCTTCTTACTCTTGTTTTTTTCCTCATTCTTTCTTCTACTCGTCATCATTAGCTCGACAGTCCTGTGTGACCTCGGCCTTCTTCAGAAGGTTCAGCCAGTTTTATATATTTATAGCCACACTACTTCAATTCTTCACTCCCTGGGCCCTGATAACCTGAATCACATCATCCTCCCATCTCAGTTTGAACCTTTCAATTCTCCTAGTCCTTTCAGGTCTGGTATCAAACACCTTCTTGACTGTCCTACTATTTTCCATATATATAATATATCCACCTCAGCTTAATCTGTTTCTTTTTATATATTGAGTAATATCTGGCTCATTAAACTACTTATACAATTTGTGGTTATATCTCTTCCTCCATGTACCTTTATCCTGCACTGCTCCAAAAATGCATCTGAGAATTCTTGCTTCTACTACCAAAGTATAAAATATGGATAAAATTCTACTCTCTCCATAATAATCTCCTTATTCCAATAAATCTGTCATTCACATGTCTTCCCTTACTTCCTTCAATTTTATATATTTAACCTTTCCACATATGTTTCATTGGTTATCTTCTTGCCAATGTTGCATTATTATTGCAATTCCAAACATAAGCTCTGCCATAACATCTTGCTGTTAGTAACTATTCATTAACCCTTTTGCGCGGTCATTTAAATTCCGCTGCCGTGTCTCTCCGGCGGTAATATATTCAGCTGTCCATTTAAATTTTGCTCGAAAATGATTTATTCATCATTGTTCTTAAATTATATGAGATAGGAACATGAAACTTTCACTAAAATGATCTTAAAAGGTGGTTTTATAACCTTGCCTTATAATATGAGCGCCCGGTATCTCGGCAATGGAAGCAGTTGGTTTAGAATTTGAGCAGTGTATCGTACGCCTTGAAGCATGAAACTTTCACTAAAATGATCTTAAAAGATGGTTTTATAACCTTGCCTTATAATATGAGTGCCCGGTATCTCAGCAAAGGAAGCAGGTGGTTCAGAATTTGAGCGGAGTATGGTACGCATTGAAGCATTCTACTATACACAGCGGTGTCTCACATTCACCACACCAGTACTGCGTATCTCTCATTTGGCTCTTTTTTCCGTAAACCAAACATCTTCTGTGCGGCCTTGCCTTCTTCCCCGTGGGGGGAATATAAGAAGAAATGTCTCTCCGTGAGTCGTATCGCTAGCCAGATTAGCTGCAGTAAATTCAACCTTTATGTTATCATAACAAGTGTTGGTGCTTCTGCGTTTCATTTTCCATCCATTTTGGCGGCATAAGACGTCGTAGGGGTGACCACAGAATTCATGAAGTTATTCTAAGAACTGGCTGGTATGTAGTGAACGAAAGCAGAGCTTAGCTGGCTCAAAAAAATATTTATGGTCATCCCTCGAAACGACCACCAAGGTCAGTACGATAAAATGGAGTCAACTGGAGCGATAATACATGAAGGAATGAGTTCTTTTCCCTCCCCCACACACACCCGTATCGTCACAGGGGGTGACCACAGTGTTCTGCCTTAATTTGTGGCGTTTTTCTAAGAACTGGCTGCCATGTACTGTGCGAAATCAATCGATCTTGCAAGAATAAAATTTGGACATCCCTCTTCTAAGAATTCCAATAGAGTGTGTTAGTGTGGCCAGCTCAGGGCAATATGATATTATAAACACAGCACATATCACGTCTCTGCTGTTTATAACTTCATAGGAAAGAAAACACACCATTCATAACAGTTTGAAGGAGGAAACTTCTACCAGAAGCAACAGGAATTTGCTGCAAGACAGGCATATGTAACGATGACTTAGCGCTCTTAAACTCGTGTCTCATTAAATATAGTTCTCCTGACAACAGGCCAGCGAAAAATCTAACAATCTACAGCAAAACCATCAATTATTATGGGCGTTATAACATAGGTGTGCAGCTGGACGAAACATTGACGTCGAACCCCCGCAGACGATTTAAATACCTTGACGAAACATACACGTCAAACCATGCTGAACGGTTAAGAAACTTATCACACAAACTCAAATATGAACTGCAGGATTTCAGGTTTTCACAGTGGTGACTATGAAGAATGTCGTATCCCGGAAGGTGGCATTCTCCATTATGAATTGTGCTGATAACTGTAGAAAGACATTGCTTGGGAAACACATTTGGCGCTTATGTACAAAATGAATTGTGCAGATTCACTCATAAACATTATATCTTGCTTTCGCAGTTACAATTCAGGGAGCTTTAAATATGATCATAATATAAACATGACATGAGTCAGCACCATAGGATAATAAATAAAGTACAGATTTGTATTTTTAATTTGAAAACAAACATAAGATGAGCAAAGTGGTAATGACAGGAGAAATGAGAATTTTGGCATATATTAGAACAGAGATGTAGAGAACTCACTTTTTGAGAAATAGAGATAGAATTTTATTCAGGCTGCAGACCTCAACAAAGGGCTACTGAGTACTTCTTGCAATAATATTTATAATCTGTTACTCTAGTAGCATTTAACCCCCAAGCTATAATATAACTGTTTCAGCATATGTCAATTTGCAAATAAACTGTAATGTGTTCCTGGACTGTGATTATTTCTCAAGGATACAAGGACTTTTCTGTTAACTACCGTGTTTTATCTAATTCTTATCATAATATATGCTTCCAGGAATTCAAAGCTTGATGTCAGTATTTTGGGTTCCAATTCTGTATGATCCATTCTTCAGATAATATTTTATCTGACATCAAGCCCTGAGGATTTTAAACCAAGGAATTTTGACTTTAAAATAGAATAGGTGTTTATAGTTAGTAATAATTAACTATGGTGCTTAACTCTTGCTATTATGTACTATGTACTACAATATCTTTTAAGTTCCTTTCCACAAGAGTTTCAATTTACCTTCTGTTCAGTTAATCATCATACAAGATGTGGCAACTAACCACTGGTTTGATGTTTTTATGCAACATCAGTGAGCTGTGTTTCACTGTGTCACTAGACAATCTTGTGCTGAACAATTGTTGGGATTAGTTTGTTTGCTGTTGCAACAAACGTTTTGTTGGTATACTGCAAAAATATGACAGAACTTTTCTAAAATGGAAAAATCCAGATTCTACAACACAAAAAAGTCTGGATGCCAAAATCAAAAGTCAAAACCGCATTCATCTGCTTTTGTTGATATGGAAGGAATTATCCCTTATGAATTTAATTTGTTCCTCAAAGGGAGTCCATTAAGCACTCTACCTTCAAGTTTGAGAATATTTATGGCAATGCATTTTTAAAAAAATATCAAGTCTTTGGATAAGTGGATTCTGCATCATAAGCTTGCACTTTCCCACACAGCACTTTCAGGAAAGCAGTTTACAGACAGAAAACAGACACTGGCGTAGCACTTGCCTGGCTTGATCCCATATGACCTTTTCATGTTTGTGAAATGAAATAAATCTTCCTGAACGCTTTAAAACATTCAGAGCAATGAGACAAAAGTATTAAAAGGACTAGTAGTGTTTCCAGACATGACAGATATTTTATCACATGTATCAAGTCAAAATGCAAGTACTTTGAAGGTGGCAAAATTCACTAAAGGATAATGATATATTTCCTACTGAATCAGTCTGGTTATTTAACTGCAATGACAACACCAACTGCAGGCTTTTCCTTGAGCTACATGGAAAGAAGCTGGGCAGAATAAAGAAGCTTATATTTGTAACTTTGTGAACTGTTACAGAGAAGTTGCTTGAGTGGCAACAGTCGCTTCAGCGTTTGAGATCAAAGAATTTGGTGTAAGTAAGGTCTGAGTACCAACTGCTGGTGATGAAGATGAGACCATTGTGCCAGGACAGAATTCTAATTGCATGCCAACAGAAGAGGTAGGAGTGGCTGGCATTCCTGGAAGATTAGAAGAAGATACATTAACATTGACAGGAGTGGTTTGGGTAAGTGATGCCGCAGTGGACTTAGTAGAGTCTGACGGCGGGGTCTGTGGTGAGGTAGCAGGAGTCAAAACACCTAGAGCAGTAGTTAAGGTCTGTTGCTCTGTTGCAGCAGCTTCAGTAATTGTTGCAGAAGCACTGTTCACAACAAGTCCAGCTACAGCTGGCGGTGGAACTAAGGTTGGGACTGCCACCTGGATGGTAGAACCTTTAGCAAAAGTGATTGTATCAAAATTTCCTTCAATGCCTGTTTCGCCTTTCATGACATTTCCACTCTCGCTGGGTTTTGTGGCCACAACAAGGCCTTGAATAGTTTTAACAGGCAGACCAATGGCACCACCAAGATTTGCAGTAGATATCTGCTTGAGAGCAATTGCACGGATAGGCTGCAATGCTGCTACATGACTAGTAGGGATCTGAAGTACTTCTCCATTCTGTGTGGTAAGAGTTGTAAGACTGGCTCCACTGTGATGAGTGGCAGTGTGGTTCCTCAAGCCTTGACATGTTTTGTAGCTCTTCCCACAGTGACATTTAAAGCCTTTGCGAATCCTGCAACACAAATGGGTATATCACGTAATAAGAAAGCTTACTTAAAAATCCGAAATGGATATGCGTCACTCCGTTTAACAAATTCTCATTCTCACAGCATAAACAACACAGCTCAAGTAGAGATCAACTAGCTCAAGTCATCTGTAATGAATTTTGGTCCTTTATAGCACATCTGGTTGAAGATATGTTTTGGAAAATTACAAAAAGGCAAACCAGCATCACTTTTGTAACAAAAGGTGAATGGTGCTGGGCAGTGCACTTTATTATTTACATTATAAAATGTATCACTCATTGAATTATAATTTTGTTTTCCTTACTCTACCTTGTCAGGAATTAATGATACTGTAAGAATTGATATAAGTTGTTACAAACTATTTTTTCATTCCTGTATCACACTATGTGACAGGCTTGTTCTGCACCACCGTGTTTGAATTCCTTTGGCATATTTTGGTTCTGAAAAATATGCCAAAGACCTTCCTTGCTACAAGCTGACAGTAAAAACAGTTTCTATCAAATGGGTTGGGTTTCATTCCCAGAATGAACTCAACTTAGAAGCTCAAAATAGCTTAGCTTATTTCTCACATCATGATCAGCTGTGAAATATATAAATGCATGAGGGTAGACAGAAACAGAATTTTCTTATTAATTCCAAATCATGGGTTCTACCAAGCTGACGAAGCTTCCAAAAAGGAAAGCTAGGTTCCTAAACCCTGATGAGATACCTGAAGCTACACTGGAGAGTGACAATGAGGATTTTGTGAAAAGGATTATGAACAACTTGGGACAGATCAGTCATTGTTCCAACAGGTGCAAGCACCCTCACAGAGTGGCTATACAGTGTTCAAGTGCTGACACTACTGGAACATCACACCACTTGATGTCTCCAGAGAAGAAGATGAACAGAATAAACCAACAACAGCAAGCAAGCTCATGGTGGATGCTATCCCACCCTGGGAAGTGAAAAGTATGCAACTATAGAGGGGGTCCCAGAGGAAAGAAGAACAATAACCTGCAACACATATATGACAGCTCCAGTCCACTTGGCAGTTTCGTGTTGTTTTTTGCAGAAGTTATCCTGCTGGTGCTGGAGACTAACTGACACTACCACCATTACTTAGAAACACCTGATGATGGGCTGTCTCCAGTATCTGATGTGACTGAATACAAGATATTCCTCTTCATGGCTGTAACAATACAAATGGGGCACTGCATACAAAACCGGCTGACAGAGTACTGGACAACAATGGACCACTTTTACATATCTTTCTACAGCAGCATGATCAAATGAGACAGATTCCTACACATCCTTCACTTTTTGCACTTCTCAGACAACAGGAACAAAACTGACAAGCTGGACAAAAACTATGATACACTGTAGAAAATAAAGATGTATTTGTAATTCTGAATAACACATTTTCAAAATATGACAACCCTTCTGAACATCTGGCAGCAAACGAAGTTATTGTCTCTTCAAAAGAATAGTGGCTTTCAAACAGTACATTAAAAAGAAAACAAACATTTCAGCATAAAAATATACAAATTATGTGACTCCACTGGCTACACACATGACATGAAAGTGTGACTGGGGAAGGTCAAACAGCATTAGGCCCAGGACTTCACAGCCACACATGTTACAGTGATAGAACTTACTAGGAAAGTAGGACAAGGTTACGAATTGTATATGGGCAATTTCTTCTCTCCTCTTGCCTTATTCAACACCCAGATAGAAAAAAATGTTGCAGAGCTCTGAGATCAAATAGAAAAAGCCACATGACCCTGGACACAAGAAAATGAAACAGACAGGATGACATTCAAGGACTGACTTGATGGCAGCGGTATGGAAGGACAAAAGAGAAGTTCATTTAACAACCAATATTCAGTCCGCCAGCAGAAGGTAAGTTCTGTGATGAAAAAGGGAATGCTATAACACCACACATTGTGAAAGATTATAATTATCACATGGGTTATATGGACAAGGGAGACAGGATGGCCAATAGCTACACATTCAGCTGTTACACATGGAGATTGTCAAAGAAACTCTTCTTGCATCTGTTAGATCTGGCTATTCTAAATAGTTACAATCTTCTTTCTTCAACCAGCCACGTGCTTATGAAGTTTGGAATTAGTAAAATTTTAAATGAAGTTTTGGACAGTGATGTTATGGGATAGTGTAGTTCAGGTGATAATGATGAAACTGATGATGACTGCACCCAATTAGTGACTCTTTCGGTGCACACAGCAACATAATTAATGAGGCACATGAATGGCAAGAGTGTTAATGAAGTTTGTGTGGCAATATATCAACACATTATCTGCAGTACAGAAAACATTTTGTGGTATCCACGGTCCACAGATCAACATATCTGATTTAGCTACTGTAGGCGTAAGTGTAAATATTTCTGACACAGCTCAACTGCAACTAATAGTAAATGAAACCAACAATAGTTCCATAAATCCAGCATGAGCTTCTTTAATGTTTCCTTATTTACACAGGGCATAAAAAAGAACTGACAAATCAGTATGTGAATGAAGACACAAACAAAACATCAGCAATTTTTATAAACTTTGTGGAACATTGTCTTGATCATGGCCACACTCTCTCGATAGTCAGTTTTTTATTATTGTCCAGAGTTAGCCTGATTCTTGAGATCCAAAGGCACAGACTGTGTAGGCACTTTAATTTACCAACAGGAAAACTGTCCCTTCATAATGGACTCAAGCAGGGAGAGCAATGCAGTACACATCTGGCAGGATAAGGCAAGAGTTATTATGATTTTGATGTACCACATAGATGAAATGCACTCCAAAGTAAATAAAGCAAACAAGAACATGAGACCAACTCTTCTCAGAGACCAGATGCTACAGCTATTGCTTGAGCAAAATGAAGGTTCTAAGTGGTATACAAAATTATTCAAAAGGTCGCTCAATGTAATTATCCATAATTCCATAATCATATATTGGGCTGTGCCAAACAATAATGGTACAGACTCTGAAATACAGGCTCTTTCTGATACGAGGTCTCTTGTCCATGCCCTGTATATGACCAACCTTGAACTGAACCACCTCAAAGAGACTGTGTGAATGTCATTTCCTAGAGCGAACTCCTGCCACAGGAAAAAAAGGCAAAGCCACAGAAGAGACATGTGACATGCTCAAAACACATAAAACAAAGAGAGAATTTATTGGTGCAGTGAATTTGAAGCAGACTTGTGTTTGGATGGGCATTTCAAAGCTATCAGATTCCACTCCTAATTTGGTTTCCTTCCTAATGCATTGACAGAATATTCAGTTAATAAGGTAAACAACTAAAATCATAATTTATTCAGCTCTGCATGAAAAAATTATAAAATTACCTCATATGCTTGATTAGTTATGAAGGTTTAAACACTTTCATGCAAAAAATTAAAAAGAGATACAAAAATACTATCACAATACAGTACTGAAAGTGATCTTTTAATGAATTTGGTTTCTTTCATTCTGGTCCATCACACTAACAATTACAAAGTCAAAAATAACACCGTCCAGTGTGACTATTTAAGTTTTATCACTAAACTCATCACCCATATATGTTTCGATCCCTACGGATCATCCTCAGAGAGCATCAATACTTTTTCCGGAAACTACTATTACAATAGGTGTTAAATTATATACATACACATATGTCTGAAATACACAATGTACACAATGTTCAACTTTTCACAGTCACAGCAGCCTTCCTGGTATTAAAATTTTTAAAGTTTCTTAAAAACTTTGTTGTTTAAGATTAAACAACAATGGGGTGTAAACATGTAAGGGTGATGAGTTTTCAAGTGATAAAACTTAAATAGTCACACTGGACAGTGTTATTTTTTGTCTTTGTGATCTTGTAATGTCTGCAATGAAGGCTCAACAGCATTTCTGAAAGGCACTCTGTGCAATGTCTGTTTTACTCTTCCTAACAACAGCATTTATCTTCAAATGTTATCATTCATACTTCAGATAATATTAAAGTTTTTCAAAAAGTCTGCACTAATATCTAAATGCCTCCGAAGAAACCTCCATAGGGCTGTTCTCACTATAACATTTGAACAATTATTGTTAAAAGTTAACATTAAGAAACAACCACAGCCCTCTTCAGGTACATTTATTTCAGGACATTTTATAACATCCAGCATTGCACGGTAATGAAAACATATCCACTGGGAATGGCTTCTCATATATAAATATATTGTCATGCATATCAGTGACTATAGACATGGTTGGATCAGTAATCAGATGTAACAGACACCTACAAATCCATGACTACAAGTAATTAGAACCATTCCACTAATTCAAACATTTTACAGTTCACTACAGCACACAATTTAAAGTCTTCTGACTTCATTAGCTGTTTCTTGGAAGCGGCATCCAATGGCAGATGTTCCCCTTGTTCTGGGTTCCTGCAATGTTCCTGGCCTCAGCTACAGCAACTCTTAACTGACTGACCAACCGACTAATCAAACTCTAGACTTGTCCTGCTTATAACAACTCGGCATAGATTGCATATGAAACACCATTCCTCTATTGCATTCACATCTATTGGGATGCCCACATGATTGACACTCAGCCACTGCCTAGCAACAGCAGTGGCTGTTGTATAGCTGCTTATTTCATGGTCGTTGCCTAGCAATGGGTCTACATGCCACAATATGCTCAAGCCATATGTTTTTCATCAGTAACAGTGATAATTATTAAACATTTAAGTTGTAAGCCTCTACTGAGTACACAGTACACAAAATTAGTGGGGACCGATCAGTCAGTAAAGTAATGGCTGCAGACTGGATGACCACAGTTTGATTACCAAATAGGACAGAGAATTTTTCCCTTTACCACCACATCCAGGTCCCTTTGGCAAAATCATCATTAAGTAACTGATGCAACTGACAGAATGGTCAAGAAAATCTACAAACCAACTTCTTCCACAAAAAAAAAAGGGGGGGGAATACTTATTTAATACTCACTTTCCATCTTTCTTATGACCATTCTTAGAATGATATTTGATTCCATTAGGATTCTTGTAACGTTTTTTGCAACCAGGAACTGGGCAAGCAAATGGTTTATCCACATTGTTATTATTCGATGGATTCAACATCCTGAAAAATAAATATTCAATGGTCATTGCAATCGCTACTAAATCTCATGCAAAAATAATATCTTGGAACTGAAACCTACTTACCAAAGGTGTTGGGATTTCTTAGAATTATAAACAGGCATTTTCTTTACTGGGACACTGAAAAAAAAAGTTAAAACATAAAAAGGAATTTAAATTGGCACTGTGATGATGAACTGTGAAGGGCAATTGCTTGTAGTCTTCCATTTTACCTGCCCCCATATCTTAATATGAATTCTGCGCTGAATTCTTCTGATGTTGTCCAAGAATCATTGCTGTCTTCAGACTCGCTCATCAGCTCATCTTCATCTGCTTCACTACCTACAGAATATGTATGTATTAATATCCTCGTCTCACAATGTTTTTCGTGTTTGGAATATTGTTTTAACTTCAAACTTGTCAAATGCCACTGATTCAAACTGTAAATTACCAGTGGGTGTGTTACTCCGTGTAGTGGTAGCATAAGTGGGTTTGGTTCCTTGATTTTGGGCAAGTTTTCGCTTCGCATCAAGCCCCTCTTTCCTAGTAGCATCACTGAAGAATCTCAATACATAACTAAGTGGAAGACAAGCGGGCTGTTGAAGTTCTTTCTGTTCAATGACCCGTGGGTCATAATCTGAAAGGAACGCAATTTCTTTTGTAATGGACAAACTCTCTTTAGCTGCTGCAATTGCTTTCTTATAGTACAGTCGGGCAGGTCAGTATCAGAAATAGGTTGGGCATGTCAACCTTAGCCTAACCTTTCATGACAATTATTCGGGATGATGTGTTTCATGCAGTGATGTTATAAATCCAGAGTATACGTTTATTTACCTATATGAATATCCTCAATATGCTGTATGAGGTCTGCTAAACTGGGAAAAGTTAGTCCACATCCATTAAATTTACAGATGTTTACCATGAAAACGGCCATATCCACGAAAAACTAGTCAAGTTACAGTCAACATAGCTTAAGCTTTAAAACATCCGTTTTATTAAGTTCCAAGGTAGTTACATTGAGCTTCAGTATTATATTAAATTCTGTGTGTAATTGAGAATATAGTCAAGCTTATCTTTAAATTTAATATCTTTCATATAGTGCATTAAGATACATTATTGTCATATTGACTTTTCAGTAGCGACGAACTATATGGTCGGCTAAATTCGGGTGGTCGATAAAATCCGAGACTGAAAAGGTGAATGAAATGTGAACGGAAGCTGCTGCACATGAGCCAACTACATTTGCACAGTGTTTGCATTTCGTTCTTTAGATACTCAGGTAATCCCTATACCCAAGGACATGTTCGCTCCTCCTCCTACTTTCTGTTCTTTGGTAAGTTCGGGGGTTGTGAGGAAGTGAGTAAAGTTATCCGTTAATTATCGTTATTTGTAATACTCATCCAGTCTTGGAAAGTACAGTTATCTTTTACTTATTGAGTATGCTGTAGGTGCCTTGAGATATTTTTTGTATGTATTTGTTTATGGAATATAATTTAATAGTCTGAAAGAGTGGTAGCACCGTTCTCGGAAACGGCCATTTTATTCGACCGGTTATGTGGGACATAGGAATAATTACATAAGTGTAGGGTGTTTGGCGTTATGGTTTTCCATACCGAAAATGCAATTTCTGTTAGTCCTGTTGCACTTCGTATAGGAATGATCTTGTGAGAACTGATGGATGAGCAAAGCTCCGTAGTTCGTCCTGGAGTAAGGGTTGTGCATGGTGTAATAGTGCATTATTTCGTTCCAGGGATTTAATTGACCAAAATACACCACCACCACCACCACCCCAAAATGTTCGCCTGTGCCCGATTCATTGCCCCTGTTGCCAGGACCGCCGTAAGTTTCTTAGGTGTATAGTCGACCATAGTTTGGCAGTGACCAATGAAAGATCAAGATGGAATGTATTTTGCTTATTACTTTGTAGTTGGTGTCAGGATCTCGAGCATACATCCGACCAATTAGCAGTGGCTTGATAAGTTACAACAGCCCACTTCAACAAAATTTTACACAGACGACATCCCCAGTTAGTTTGGTAAGTAAACGGCAATATCTTCTTTGAAGTTCCATTGAAGGCAAGTTTAAGTTCAGTTTTCAATTTTTGTTAATGGAATTCTCAGCAAATGCTGTCCGTTTTTGTCCAAGAGCAGTACTTGCTTCAAACATAGAGCCGAATATTCTGTTACTTTAACTCAATTTTTGTCTTGGTTCGTTCTTAATGGGCTCTTCCACATTCAGTTTTCTTGTGCTGTATCAGGTATTATGACTTTCCAAAGTCTCTTCATGTATTACTGCTGATTCTTTCACAGCTTCCAGCAGTTCGTAACTTCCAGACAACTGCTGTGACAAGAGATATTGATTCTGCAGCCAAGTTTATTGGAGCTGGAGCAGCTACTGTAGGTGTAGCTGGCTCAGGTATGCATATTGTCTTAGCATGTTTTGCATGATGCCTTGTTAAGAGAATGGAATGAGAAGTGATGTAAGTCAATCAGTGATGCCAGAAAATAACCATTCCAGACAAGAGTTAGGGAACTAAACAATTGTTCTGTTGTGCAGTTATAGTACCACAGCTCTTCAGAAATATAACAGTGGGTATGATCTTAGAACTATAAAAACTGTTTTGAACATTATATAAGTTTGAAACTTCAGCTGTCCAAAATGAATAAAAATGTAAGCTAAGCACCAGTTTTGAGATACAATGGAATTATTGTGTCTGATCTTGAATGGTTGGTTGTGTGAAATTTGTGGCCAGATACAAGCTTGCATCAGGGGCTCACTCACAGGGTACTAGTTACTCAAAATAGCCCTGGGAAGGTCTGAGTATGGGTCAAGAAACACTCTAGCTGGGTGGCCCGTTAAAAGGGTGTGAGAGAATAGAAATGGAGAGAGTAGAGTGGCAATTGTCTGGGATGCCAGTGTGGCTGAGGCTGAGCTGCTTAACTTTCATGGAAACTCTCATGACCTGCAGTTTGAGTGCAATGTGCAAGTAGGACATCATGTCCCTAACTCAATTCAGACTACTCTGTTGCTGGCCACACATTCACAGGAATAACCTATCATTGATCGGGGATGAATGGTTTGCGCATAATGCAGTCAGAAATACTGTTTTAGTATGCAGATAACTTTGAAATTAAATGGAAGGGGTTGGAAATGGAGTAGGTTCTGGTACAGATTTTGTCTGTATTGAATAGTTTTATGGGTGTTCTTGCGTGATTAATATGAGCACAAATAAAAATTGTAAATCGAACTGATCTTTGTGCATGTTTGAAATAGTTACGAGAAAGGTGCCTTTGCATGCTTGTTACATGGAGTGTGATGCATATCGTAAATCAGTGGTAGTTTATGCGAAATTTAAAGTGGAAGTGAAAGATGTTACAGGAACTAATGCATCTTGGATCAAGTGGCATTTCCCTCCAAATGTTAGGTGGCTGACCTTCTCAGATGTTGCCCTCAGCATTTGAGACTTGGCAGTATAGTTGTGCTATAAATAGAATTGTGATGAGCTGCTGTATGAGGTACTTAAAACAGTGCACAATTCAAAATTTAATTTTATGGTATGCAGTTTATAGTCAGAGTTACAGATCATTTGTGAAATCATTTTCAATTTATATTTTAGTCATAGGTACATTTAGGTTGTGACTTAATGTAGTCTGGTAGGTTATTAACCTGCTACTTCCATCTTCAGCATAGAAGATTCAACCATACTACATGCCATGACCTCAGATGACAGTAGTCTTCATAGTCACCACTATGACAGCCTCATGTCTCTCAATTTCTAATGATGTTTGATCCATGAATGTACCATAAGTGGACTTAATATTCCATCATATTTACCAGGTATAGCTATAGCTTCTGGGTTATAAACTGTGTAATTGAGACAGATTTTAACCTTTGATCCAAATTAATTTCATTCTTGACCGTGTATAGAATAAGAATCTCAGTGTATGGTCTAAATAGGCTACACTGGTGATAGTCTTTATAATTTTCCCCCCCACACTGTTTTAGTTCAATTGCAGAATGAAATGAGGTATCAGTCACCCTTTTGTCAGTGAATGATATAATTCATGAAAAAGGCAGAAATGTACATAATAAATTTTGAGTAATTGTAAAGGTCTATCATGAATGCATGACACTTCAGCATGTGCCTACGAGGCATAGAACCCATTAAGATAATTTTGATTACAGTTTCCAGATGATAATGTGCTTTTAGTGCTGTAATTTTTTTATTTTGTGCCGTCCTCTCTTTCAGTTCTGATGATGATTTTAAATTCTCATAAACCTTCAAAAAAAATTGAATTGGTAACCATGGCAGGAAATGTTGAGCCAGGGGATATAATTTTAAATATTCCTCTTTATTTATGAATGTGTGATAAGTTTCCCAACGTTATCGGTCATGAGGCATTCTGAACCATCAGTAAAATTTGAATATGCCTCGTGGCAAGCAGTGCACCTGTCACCATGAAGCACAGCTGTAAACCAGTCAACAAAGTTAAAAAAAACCTTTGTATAATACGAGTGATTTTACTTTCATGGAACTATACAACGTTCACCACACATTCCCTATACATAACCTTGCACACAAAGACTGCATTACCAGCTAGTCAGATCCACAGTTTCAGAAAATCATTGCTAATCCTGCCACACTTCTGTCCATTACAGAGTGCCCCTAAGCACCGCGACGTGTTTGATATATGAGAGCATCTACTTTCTCGTTCATTTTTGTATGTATAATGTTATTCCACAATAACATATTGAATGGGTAATGTTTCAATAGGTTTCTTTAAAAATTTTCTTATGTGGAATATGTTTTTATGTGTGAAACATTTGAAACAGTGCATAAATACTGTAACGTGTTTGGTCACTAATGAATATGCCGTAGCGATGGTTAATTGGTTTATTTAACAATCTACAAGTAACGGCTACAATTACTTATCTCACAGTTGCGGGGTTTCACACTTTATAACCCTAATCACATTAATCTGTTAACACTGTTGCGGGGTTTCACACTTTATAACCCTATGCTCAAATCAGTTCACTCTGCCTTCAGTAGTCTACACGTTTACAGTAGGGGAGCTTTGTATCACTGTATCACACGCTCCCAATTACACAATCACACACACGTCCGGTTCTTCTATCCGCGACGGCTGCTATACTCCAACTGTAGTCCGCTGACTGGAGAACTGTTGATAACACACTCTCGTAGGCTTGCTCGGAACTATCTTCGGCGATGGCCACGTTATAACTCGGCGGCTGTCACAGTACAACTGAAGTCGCCGACTGCTACAGTAGAACTGACTGGTACCTGCTGTGCAGCTCACTTATATAGCGGCAGTGCTTGCGTAATGAGTGCCACGTCACAGTAGGAAGTTGATTACGGGTACGTAGCGTTGCGCGTTACGTCACCGCGGAGGGGAGGGGCGGGGCGGGAACTCGCCTATTACCGTAGTAACGCGAGCGTTACGTTACCGCCACATACCGCTGGGGAGGTAGGGGTGATCCATAGCTCAACATGCCACAATACATTACTTTAATACCCAATGATTTTTGAGCAGGGAGCACAAATTTTGTGGCCTGGAATATAAATAATAAAGCTTTTTATGATAAAATTAGTATTGTAGCATGCGCTGATAAACATACTCAAACACGTGCATGATATATAGATTATGTATTTTAATTTACATTGTGTTCAGATGTGCATATTTTATATGGCTTACCAATATTATGTTTTTAAAAGAACCTACATTTTTGTGTTACATTGCATTTCCCTGATATTATGTGCTCCCCACAAAAGTGTAAAATCAAGTTTCACTGCAATGAGGCTTGGAAGGATGAGGTGACTGTCTCTTTATTCAAGGATGGTAGAAAAAGGAAGGTTCTGTGCCATAATGTTTGCAGGACCTCAAGACTTGCACGCAGAATTGAGATCGTCAGCTTCGTGCACAAACTTCTGTTTTCCTCCCACCAATAAAGAGCATTTAAGACTGATTTTGACATATGAACAGTGACAAATGATGCTCAGACAAACCTTGATAATAACATAGATGATATATATATATATTACTTCTAAATAACGCCGCTTCCCTGGCTCACATTACATGCCTTGCCCATTTTGTCATCCTTGACTTGAACATTCAAATTATACATGGCATAAAGCATGTCCTTGTTTAAACCATTTTGGATAGGAAAATTATTAGACAAATGTTTACCTATACAGAATTTACTGTATGTTTCATTTAAACAGATTTTAATCATGCTGGCTAGTTTCATGGGTACCCCAAACCCTATGAGAATATTGTATAATACTTCCCTCCTAACTGAATCACAGGCTTTCTTGAAGTCTGTGAATAGCTGATGTACTCATCAGTGTACTCCCATTTATTACATCATTAAATATAAATCTTAACTAGTAGTAGTGATCGTGATCTGGCAGCACTCTTATACAAAGATCCTAATTGCAGGACGGAAGACTGACCATACCAGTGCTACGAATATGTATGTCACATTTTCCTCTCCCCCCCCCACCCCCCCCCCCCCCCNCCCCACTTATTCCAAAATAGTCCGCTTTAATGCTGTGGAATGTGTTTTTGAATGTGAAATTCAATGTAATTGGGTACAGTAGAATGTTAACACAGCATTAAGGGCTGTTCACTGTTGATTCATTTGTTAGGTAGTAATGGGTTCAATATATATGCATAAACAATATGATTTATTAAATTAACGAGTGACATTTACTTGGGCATGTGTGAAAATTGATATGCCATCTGAATCCACTAACATTGTTTTAAGATTGGTATATATTTAGCTTGTTTGGCTTGTTGCCTGTTGCAAAACAATCTCAGTGGTGTGCTTTTATATACCGCCACTCAACCATACTAATTAGAGTGATAATTCTGAATTGCATTTGTAGCTGAATTCTTCAGAATTTGGGGAATTGTGGTACAGTGGTATAAAATCGTAAATGAAGATACAAATTTTACAGAAGCAGATGCAAAGTAAGCAGCATTTGTATTTTAACCATTACAAGTTGTTTTAAGCATTAGAGTAAAACATAGTAGTATGTTTTTGGAAATTTGCAAGCTGCCACAGATTAAGGTAAGGATTGTATTATTGTTGACTGGAATTAGTAAACAAAGTTGCCATGAAATATAAATCAGAAATTGTTCTAAATTTGTCACATTTTCATTCAGGGTATGCAAGGTGTATACAGAATGAGCACACAGGGCTGGCATTGTCTTTTCGAATGCCTTTTAACTTCAGAACTGCAGTATTGATTTTGCTGAAATTGGTATGTGCAGTGTTGCTGAGACAAAATGGTGGTTAAGAAATAGGTAATTATCAGGTGGTGATAGTGTGTGAGATCTGGTATTGAGATTGATTATGTACATGGACTACAAATTCTGGAGATGTAGTGGAACATATAAAATTATAGTTTCATTGATGGTGGAATTTCTATTTTTATACTCACAACAGGGTGCAGACATTAAAGATCCATATTAATGTTTCTGAGGGAATATCTTTGATATGTGTGACAATGCATGCCAAGAAAAAAAACTGTTTATAAAATATATTTTTAAAAGCTAGAAGGTGAAAGATAAAGAGTACCAATTTGAGAAATGCTTTTATTTCTCGACATAATCTCCCTGTACGTTGAGGCACTTGTCCCATCATTTCACAATCCCCTGAAAACCAGCAGCATAAAATTCTTTAGGCTGCTGTCAGAACCAGGCGGTGCCTTCCCTTTCTACAGGTTCGTCGGGAAAATGTTCATTGTTATGTCACTTGATCACCTGAGTATCTTCATTCCAGTCTGCACCCTCACATTCTCTGTTTAGTCTCAAGATGTTGCATACAGGTTGAATATACATTCTTCAGGTTGAGCATTAGTAGTCTTCAGAAAGGATATGCCCCTGAAAGTGATGATTAATGTATGCTGAAATGTTGAAACATACCAATATACTAATCCCAAAAGCTGGTTGCATATCAGATGTCTTGGGCAATAGTAAAGATTTTCATCTTCGTGCAGTCTGAATTTGAGGTATTAACAGAGTGGTTCTTCCAGTGTAGAAAAGGTGAGTGGCATACTTGCATAATTATGGAATATGTGTATAATAGTCTCTTCCTGCTCCAGGTTTTTCGTGTATCGCTGTATTTTGTGTTCTGCTGTACTAATAGTGTGTCTGTCTTTGGATAACACTGGCTAGAATTTCCGCAGCAGAAGTTAATGCAATATTCAATCCAGGCATTGTTAGATGGGTTACTGACTATTTCAAGGTGTAGGAATGGTGAGCTTATGGGATGAGGCTGGGTTTATGCTTGACCCCACCCATTGCTGTGGTTATCCTTGTAACAGGCCTGAATTGATATGTAAAATGTCTAAATCAACCAACATTGGTTCCTTATTGCTGTGGTTATCCATGTAACAGGCCTGAATGGATATGTAAAATGTTTAAATCGACCAACATTAGTTGTAACACCAATCCATGGTAAGGGAGACAGTGATAGTCTCCAGAAACAGACTTAAGCTCCCTGGTATATTATGAATATCTTTTCCTGAAAACATTTACCACGTTCTGACATTTGTTGTAGGTGACTGTTCACGTCATGTAATGGTGAGGTTGGAACTTCATTAGTCTCAACACTTCACCTCTCCGAATACTTCCATCCCTGCCCCATTGCATTTCCAGGTTTCTGCTTGCAAGCCAGTTCAGTACAGCAGACATTTGTGCAATGACAAACTTTTTCTGTTAGTTTAAATAGACATCCATTACAGTCTTGACTGGTTAGTGAATGTGATAAGTTTTGTGTGTAAATTTTTTCCTGTGCTCAGATGTTTCATTTTAAAGAGCTACCCTTAGATTTTGTGTTTGGTATAACAGGTATGGGGTAGTGTAGTGTGTGCTCTATGTTATAGGGGCTGGAATTGGAACAGTATTCGGCTCCCTCATCATTGGTTATGCAAGGAACCCATCACTCAAGCAGCAGCTGTTCTCATACGCCATCTTGGGATTTGCCTTGTCTGAGGCCATGGGTCTATTTTGTCTTATGATGGCTTTCCTCTTGCTATTTGCATTCTAAACGCATTTTAGTTAATACCTACTCACTGCCACCATGGAAGTGAAAACTTCTCTGGGGTTTAGGGCCTTCCATGGAATAAAGCTGTGGAGGCGTGACTTAGTTTCGTGCTTTTCCTTTTAATATTTGGTGACTTTTCGAGATGGTGATCTTGTATTGCAAGTGTGTCATGGGGTTTTGTGGACAATACAGTTATCCTTCCGTTTATCAAGGCCACCTTCGAGAGAAGACCAAGAGAAGAAACGATTGTCAGCTGAACTCTGCGGAATTATTCCATGGTTTCTCCCACACTTGTAGCGGAAATGGAGCTGCCTGCATTATGTTCAGCAATAGGACAGTTTTGAGTGGGATTACTATAATAAAGAGATGAAATCCTGTTTGCAGAGGATAGTCATGTGAAATTAAATTAAGTTTGTAACTCATTTCTTAATACCAGGAGAACTTCATATCCAGTGACTCAAGAATTGTTTGGCAGAAAATTGATCCAATTTTCAATGTATATTTGTGAGGATTTATTACTTTGCTGTTGTGCACCACAAAATGTATTTGGACTCTAATTATTATGTAAGATGGGAGAGGAATATTATGTTCATTGTACAGTGTTAGAACAAGTAAATCTTAGTTGCAAAAAATTGCCCCATGCAGGGTAGCTCGAACAAATTTTTGTGTTTCTACTTAAAAACGCCCTTTCTTTCTATGTGTATATCCCATGGGGGACTGAAACCTGACTTAAGAGAGCACCTTTCTCAGGTGCCATGAGGGTGATGTGATCAAGGGGTCATATAGTTGTCCTTCATAATCTAATTACATATGTAAAGGTGAAGTTCTTGCGCTTAATTAACCACCATAACATGAAGACTCACTGGAGGAGTGGAGGTATAGCTCCATCTGGATCTTTGCACTAGATCAAGGTGATTGGTCTGCATAATGAATCAGACACTTTAACCCCAGGGAAGGAGTCCTGGTGCCCATTGGGCCTTAGAGCTGTTATGGAAAAGAGAAAAAACTTTCCCCTGCCAGGATTTAAACCCAAGCATTAGCTAGTTAAATATACTGAGCTACCCCAGCCCATGTTGCTGTAAATTTTTAACACCTTTGTTCAGAAGAAAATATTGGCTCTTTGACATCCCCAAACTAAATGCTATTGCTAGAGTTTTAGGAAATGTAACTGATGCTTACTACATAGTTAAATTGGTTTACATGTTCATGCACTAGCAGTAATGCAACTGGTTGATTTTTCCCTTGAAAGTTAACTAGACTGTTGTGAAATTGGAAGTTCTCACATCAGTGAATGTGATGAGTACTGTCCTTGTAGGATGTTACACCATATAGTCTGGTACCAGTTAATGACTTGGTTCCATCTTCAGGTTCAAAGAGAAGCCCAGCAAGCAGTGTAGCTTCCTGTTTCTTAATGGCAAATAATATGGGTGATCATCCAAGATCATAGATTAAAATGTGAACTTCAGAGAACCAAAATAGATATATGATTAGGTCTCCTGCATAGTAGAAGAATGCACCATGGTCTGATAATATAGTAATGACTCTGGGAAGTGGTATAAATAAGAGCCACAGCAAACAAAAAAAAAAGTAAAGCTATCCCTGTAACAGGCCGTGAAGGCCCATAGGGTTGTGAGACATTGAGAGTCCCACATTATCTAGACAGTCGACTCAAAGATGGCAGTAAGGTCAGCCTTTTTAAGGGCGGAAAAATTCAGGGAACAAGTTCTCTGGGAGGGACTTTAAGCTGTGGGTCATGTGACAGATTTACGGCACGTAAAAGAACCTCGTGCCTCTAGGAGGCCTCTGAGCTAAATTAGGCCAAATAGTTTCCAATGCCTCCGATAGATGGGGAAGTATTAGGTACCACTGTCAGAGGAGGGATGACCTCGCTGAAAGAAAGGGACTAATTAGATACCACTGCCAAGTAGAGGGTAGAAACCTTGCTGGCAGAAAGGGGCTAAAGTATTAGGCACCACTGCCAGAGGAGGGACTAACTATTAGATACCACTGCCAAGTAGAGGGTAGAAACCTCGCTGGTGGAAAGGGGCTGATAGCGAGCACCAGTATCGGTAGGGGATGGAGACGGTAGAAATTAAAAGGAGGATGTACAATAGACTGTCAGTCACAGTGCATTGGAAAACCCACCCCCTAAATACTGAATCACTGACTGAAGGTCAGCCTTTTGCACCGGCTGCACTTTACTCCCCAGGAAAATTAATTCCTGGTACTCATTTCTATTAGAAGCTGAGTCAACCCCAGGGCCATAGTATGGCTGGAGGGATTAGGTCAATTGAAAAAATCCAGTGACCTCATTGGGACTTGAACCCATGACCTTCCATCTGGTAGCATAGCCCCTTAACCAACTACACTACTGCGTGCCCCCATTTCACCTAGAATCGAGGTTAAATCAGGAGAAGAAGCCATTAAAGTGGCCTGCGGAACTGTGGCAAGTAACCCAGAATCCAATATGTAAAATGGCAATAACTGGTTTGCCAACACCATCAGACAATTTTTAAAAAGGCACTCGAGCAGTGGGAAACAAAAGTAGGAAACTCAAGAGCTCACACCTCAAGCTGTGGCCTATTGTGAAAAGCGATGAACCAAAGATACCAACCGCTGTTAAGGATCTTCAGGAATAACACCACCCGAACAAGAAGCCCAACATGACTGCGGACTGTTCAGGAAACCAGTTATGACCTGTGACTGAAACCATGAGAACAGGTGGAAAGTAGAATCGTGAGCTCTGCTCACATCTGTAGAAGACATCCCATTGGGAAAAGTAAGACCTTATGTCATATGTGAATTAGGTAATTCATTAAAACACAAAGGCTTGTGGCCTTGATAGTATTCCAAACTAATGCCTTAGGAGTAATCCAGGAAGGCCACCGGTACATCTGAATTTCTTCAAAATTTATGCCTAATTAGCCTCTTATCTGCAGCAGGCAAGCTATTTGAGAAAGTTATTCTGAAAGTAGTGCAAGAAGGAAACCTGCTTAATGCAGTGAAGTTTCATTTCCATGCCCATCAACAGCACGACTCTTCAACACAAGCCTTTGATACAATATGGCATCTTAGCTTGATATATAAACTACTGGAATTTAAAATTTCAATCAGTGTAATCAAGCATATTAGCTCATTACATTCCCGGAGAAAATTCAGAGTTCCATTTGTAGGTGAAATATCTGTGGCTAGGGATATACAAGCAAGGGTGTCACAAGATTCTGGCCTGTCCCCCACATTTGAATTTGAATTTATTTACATTCCACAAATCCAAACAGGATATCCATATCCATAGGATATGGAACAAGTCTAGTATAGATACTTAATACCTACAATAATAGTTTTGCTAAGATTATACAGTCAACTCTCGATTATCTGGGATAATGGTGGGGATGGAAATCACGATTAATCGAAAACCCAGTTAAGACAAATTTTATTAAAAGTAGTACTGTAATACTGTACCTTCATAATACTATAGGCCTACCTGTATTTAAATTTATTCAACCTCATTTTTATGTCATCTCATGGCCTATTTAACACTTTTTTTACATTACACTGAAATATGAATTAGTTATTTCAATCACAGTCTTCAACAACATCCAACATTTTTTACGAATATTCACACTTAACACTTAAAAAAAATTTAATCGGCATTTTCCTTTTTCTGTTGAATATTTAACACAACACACTTCCTTTTACACCCTGACATTTTGCTAACGCACCTGAAGATCAATACAAAGTTCCTAACTGGGAGGATGTATCTGTCCTTGAAACTTTCCACAAATCCTTGCATTCTTTCACCCCTACCCTAGAACATTGTGTTAGCACAAGGGGACCAAAGAATGCAGAGCTCGGTTCACACTAGTGCGAAAATAGTGTTACAACTCGCCATGTGCAACAAAAGTGAATGAATATTAAACAACATACAAGCCTCAGTAGCCCCTTTTAATCAGCTCCCGGATAATTGAGAGTTTACTAATACAGTAATATTACCAGGCATTTGTCTTGCTTTCTTCTACACTACATGTTTTGGCTGCAAACTGCCATCATCAGCTCACGTAGCTGTTACACTGCACTTAGTTTAAAATTTAAAAACCTGGGTCTTCCCAATTGTTCCCTGGGTTTTTAAATTTTAAACTAAGTGCAGTGTAACAGCTACGTGAGTGTACACACCTGATGATGGCCGAAACATGTGGGGTAGAAGAAAGCAAGACGAAAGACATACAATAAATTGTTGCACTTGGGACGGAGTTTATATCATATATCATATAGAGTGCAACAGGATGCTTAAATATAATATTATTACCAGGCTAATTGGATACATACAGAACAGTCTGCAAATAAGCAAAATGATACAGTAACATACTTGGGATTACACTTTAGCTTAAAATTGTTTACATTGGAATATTCATATATGGACTAGAATGAGCGAGTAAGCAAGTAACATTTCAGTAGGGTTTTAAGTCTCTAAATATTACTACTTGCTGTTTTTTAGACTTTGAGGGAGGCTGTTGAACAATTTGATGCCAAAGGAGTGAACTCCTTGTTAATGTAGAGATAGATTGGCTGAATAATGGTGAAAGTTCAGTTTTGACTTGTATTTTTGTTATGGATGCCAGAATTTAAATTTTGTATCCTGCTGTTGTCTACCACAAATAATAGAAGTGAAGAGTATATATTGTGAGTGAAATGGTAATAATTTTAAGTTTTTAAATATCTGCAATAATCTCTCTCTGTGCTTCCTGTGTTAATTTTGATTGCCCTCTTTTGTATTTTGAAGATTTTTAGTACTACTGTAGAGTTTTCCCCAGAATATTATTCTGTTTGACATAGTGGAGTGAAAGTAGGCATAGTAAACCATTTTCATTACTTCCTGAGACATGTAGGGTTTAGTAGATCTGAGTGCATAACAAGCTGCACTGATCATGTGTTATACGTGCTCAGTATGTAATTTCCAAGGCAGTGTACTGTCTAAGTAATCCAGTGAATTTTATGTCATGTGCTTTAAAAATTCTTTTATTAGCATAGCTTACAGCCTGCTTATATTGGGGTCCATTTTTAGTTGTAAGTTGTATGAAATGGGTTTTGTCAAAATTTAGTGAAAGACTAGTGGCACTGAGCCGTTTATTTAAGCATCTGAATATGGTGGTTATGTCACAAAATCTGTGTGCTTATAGTTTGTAACTATTATACTAGTATTGTCTGCAAACAGAATTGCTGTAGATTTATTCTTAACAGAGTCTGGTAAGTCATTTATATAGAGAAGAAAGAGCAAAGGACCTAAAATGGATTCTTGTGGGATGCCATGCCTTATTTTACCCCATTTTGAAGCTATCAGATTAAAATTTGCTTCTTTTATATTTCCACCCTTTGATATGTATCCACATGTTATGATTTAATCCAATTATTGGCCTTACCAGTTTAATTTGAGCAGCAAAATGTCATGATTAATGCAGTCGAGCACTTTAGGTAGATCACAGAAGATCCCACCTACTAGTAATTTTTTATCAAGGTCACATGATTTGAATAATTAGTACATAGGTTGCTTTTTCTGTTGTTAGATTTTTCCTAAATCCAGATTGTTCTTTCACCATTATGTGGTTATTAATTACATGTTACTTAATTACAAGTAGTCTGTTATATATTATTTTTTCAAGGATTTTTTAGAAAGAGATCAGTATGGATATTGGTCTGTATATATTGTATAGTATACATATAAATGATACACAAATACCTTATGTCTGTCTAGGTCTCTGTTGAAGACACCTGTAGATATGTGACAGACAGCAATAACAGTTGTGTTCTCAGAAAGTTACAGCAAGGTCTTAATGCTACTGAGATGTGTTGTGAGTGCTGGAACATAAAAATCAATGAAGACTCGGACCATCTACTCTTCTCATAGACACTGGCCCCCTGAGGCTCATTGTATATTGAATGGATGTAAAATATCTTGGTGTTATCTTCAATAAGAGGATTACATGGACACTGCACACAGAATGATTAAAGCCAAGACTTTCAGAACATTTATTACAGTGCTGTCCAACGTTCTCATGTACTCGGGCACAATTCACCGATGCCTATGGAGGTGCAGGCGCCACCACACTACTACACTACTACTACTAATAATAATAATAAAATTTTTCGAAAATATTTAACAGTACTCAAGACGTTCAAAAATGTCTCTTGTCTTACAATTTGAATTAATATTACAAATCGGCTCAATTATATGTGGTTACGGAGGGCACCAGAAAAATATACCGCGGGCTCCGTGTTGGACAGGGCTGATTTATTAGAATCTGCTCACTGTTCAAAAGTGAGTGTTTGAGTGCCAGTGTTAAACTAATCCTCAACAAAGCACTGATTATATCAGTAATGACTTGCTTGCCCTGCCTGAGAATTAGCAGCAGGCACCTATCTCTTAATATAGCAGCACCTAAACACAAGGTTCTCCGCACCGTTGAAAACTTTCCAAGGTGCACACCAGTCCATGAGATGGGATAGTGTAGTCTGTATAGAGGCTGACTACAGGTTGGACAACCTAGGGGTCGGAGTACAAGTCCAGTAGGGTGAAGAATGTTCTCAACAGCCAGACTGGATCACAGCTGCACCCAACCTATTGTCCATTGGGTACTGGGGGTAAAGCAACCGGCCCATAAAGCTGACCACTGATGTCCAACTAGTGCCAAGGTCAAGAAAACTTGGATCTATACATCCACCCCCCATTACACCTTCATTGCGTAGTGCTTAATTAGTTAAGCGCAGGGTCGACTTTACATTTACCGTTTTTTACACGGGCCCGTGATTTTCACACGGTCCTCAACCTTCCGTATGTATAACAAAACTGCCGTTAACAAGCAGAAGTCACAAATTCATGAGAATGAACATTTTCGCAGTATAGGAGAAGGTGAAGCCAGACATAAAAAGGGTTAACTTAGTGGTGGTCAAGCTTATAAAAAGGGTTAACTTAGTGGTGGTCAAGCTTATGACTGTTCAAGTGACTAAGCTGCTGTTGTAGCATAAGATAAATGTGAGAGACATCATCTGATTTTCAAAGCCTGGGCTGACAAAAACGTGTATACAGTGCACAAGGAAGAATCTTGGCCAAGCTATAGCTCAAGCGATTAGTCACTGGCTTCCCACTACGGCGGGCCAGGTCTGGTCAAATGGGATTTGTGATGGACAGAGTGGCGCTGGGGTGGGTTTTCTCCAAGTACTTTGGTTTCCCCTGCCAATCTTCATTCCATCAAATTCTCTATCAACATAATCACCCAGGGCAGGTGCCATGGGCCAATCAGTGGCCGCCATACTGAGAGGACCCAGCTGGACTCCACCCCCCCACTAAGCGATTTTTTAATTTAGGAAGAATCTTCAGTAACATTCTATATGTAGGATACGTACTCTTTACGAAAGGCCAGGCATGTTCATAAGAGACTAACTCATCTCGTCAGAGGATGTTATGTAAGGACTTTGATTGCAAGGGTTCAGCAAAAAAAAAAATCTCTCTGTGGGTCTTAAGGTGCTTGGTGCCTGGTTGTATTTATTACTTACCAGCACATCCATACATGGCCGAAGCCATTGGATACAGAACCTGTCACACTACAAGCTTGCTAAATCAGCAAGTATTCAACAGAACAATGCATATAAATCCACAAAAATAAATCGAGCATATGAAACCGCTACACATCACTGCAACTACATAACCTCCCATGTGTATATAAGATATAATACAAAATTAGAACATACGTGACAATAGATCAATAATGGGCCATAGCTAAACAAGAAACTATCCCTAATTAAAATAGTCATATAAAGTGTAATAGGATTTAGTATGTAAAAAGGCACTTAAAGCTGCTCTAAATTGCTTAATATTATGGATTAACACTTTTATATTTAAAGGAAGATGATTAAAAAGTTTAATACCAAAATAATAAGGTCCTCTCTGGTAAGTTGTCAAATTTGCCTGAGGGTGATAAAGATAAAAATTACGCCTTGTATTAAGGCCATGAATTTGTGATATTGTGTGATATAAACCCATATTATTCGCAACAAACATCAATAAAGAAAATATATGCGAGACCGCAATGGAAAAATTCCCCAATCCCTAAATGCATCTCTACAAGAGTCCCTAGATCTCAACCCACTCATGGTTCTAATTATTCTCTTTTGAATTCTGAAAATGTGCATACTATAAGAAGAATTTCCCCAAAAAATAATTCCATAGGTCAAAAGTGAGTGGAAATAAGAGTAATATACCATTTTTAATGTCTCTGTGGGCATAATGGGCTTGATCCCCCTCATTGAGTAACAAGCCTTGCACAATTTAGGCATGAGTTGGGATATATGAGCTTTCAATAGCTAATCCCAAAAATCACATTATTATGATAATTAACAGAAGTTATGCTGTTAGAACTTTGCTTTGTCAAATTAGACATGTTTAGTTTTGTTAAAATCTAGAGTTAATAAGTTTGAATTAAACCAATTAAAAGATAAGCAAAGGAAATGTCAACATCATTTCTGTATTGTATATTATTGTAACTACTAATAACTAAACTTGTATCATCCTAAAATGAAACTGATTTGGCTGAGTTATTAAAAATTTTAGGTAGATCATTTATGTAAAAGATAAAAAGAAATGGACCCATGTGGGACACCATGCCTTACAATTTCCCAACTAGAGGTACCAGTGTAACTCAAGTCAGTGCTTGTTATTAAAACTCTCTGATATATATCAGATAAATAGGATGTAATTAAACTGTGGAATTTACCATCTATTCCATAAAATTGAAGTTTGTTCTATAAATCCTATGATTAACACTATCAAAAGCCTTTTTTAAGTAAAAAAATACTACCTAGGATTTCTTGCTTATTTAATGCTTTAATGCTTATTTAAGCTTTAGTAGTTGAAGATTGATAAAGTGACTGGCAGTAAATCGCCAGTTGTAAGGTAACTTTGACTTTGAGTGCTCAGTTGATTCAGACTAGAGAGAAGACTAGGAGGTTGGTGTGAAATGGCAGATAGTCTGCTGGAAGGGAGCCGCCATTCAGACAGGACGGACAGGAGTGTCCAGAGGCAGACAAATGGCCACTGTTAAAGCCGATACCAGGAAAAGTCAGGTAACAGACTGAGGACACTAGTGTGTGTATAACAGTGATTTTTAAAGTATGGAGATCAGCGATGGTGGTATAATTAAGTGTAATTATTAGTTGTAGGTTAAAGTCAATAAATCCGGGATCCAATCTAAACCGTATTGAGAGTCACTCTAGCATGTGACAATATTTTGCTGAAACCCTTTAAAGGCATGGTGATCATATCAGATTTCTAGAAAATCAGGGACCCGGTTGACACATTGAAATGGAATAAACGACTAACATTATCTGCTTAGCTTTAGTATCTCGCAAACCTATATTCCGGTAACCTAAATTAAATATATACTCTAATGTTAAATATTCACTTAGACATAAGCTGGAGGGCCACGTCATAGCTCAAGCGGTTAGTCGCTGGCTTCCCACCGCGGTGGCTTAGGTTCTATCCCGGGTCTGGTCAAGTGGGATTTGTGGTGGACAAAGTGGCGCTGGGGCAGGTTTTCTCAGAGTACTTCGGTTTCCCCTGCCAATCTTCATTCCACCAATTGCTCCACAATCAACCTCACCTATCATCTAGGGCTGGTACAATAGGCCAGAAGTGGCCGCAGTACAACGGATTTAGTCACACCGGTCACACCTCGCTAGCAATAAAAAAAGAATAGACATCAGCTGCTGAAAATGCGTGGTTAAGGTACGAAGCAGTACGGTACGAAGTGTCATTTGTTAATCGATATTTGTTAGTATGCTGTTACGTTGGCACGTCTTGTTTTGTGTAGTGATTTAATATCACTGTGAATTTTCTGTGCTATTTAGTAATCCGTGATAGTGAGTGTCTTTGATATTGTTTTTGGGTTTGTGTTGCGTTTGTATATGCTTTCGTTTCATGAAGTTTATATTTATAATGGATGTTTTTAGCGGTGAACGTTATCTGTTTTAATGTTGGATGTTTGATTATTAATGAAGGAACCGCTCTGAGGAAGCAGGTATGTTTCTGATACGGAGTTCACAATTAGGTCTCGTTGTGAATGGGGGCTGTCGGACTGACTTTCTAAAGATGTCAGAGTTTATTTTAAGCTGTTGAGAGTTACCAAAATCTTGCACCACATTTTGTTGCCAAGGTTACTATATTAAGTAGATGTAGAATGTCTTTTTATTGTTAGTGACCAGTTCGATTTATTTAGAGAATCGTTTAAATCTTGTTACTGTGACTTTTTCTTTAAAGGTACACGAAGTGGCTTGTTTGATTAGTACAACAACGAAGCTCCTGTTATGTATATAAACCAATTGTAACATAATCAGTTAGTCTTTGTGTTACTGTGGAGGAAATAGAACATGGTTTTCTAATTCTTGTTTTTCTATTGACATATAAATATACTGTAGTGTTGTGAAATTGGGTTATTTGCCAGAGAGTATAGTGTTTTGGAATAATTAACGTGTTTGTTGAAATGAAACACCTAGTGTTGATGGACCAAGTCCTTTTTGACATGAGAAGTTCCCAACATAATTATATATAATAGTTGTGGTTTCTGCTATACTGTATGATTGCTTGAAACATTATTATTCATTCTGGAATACAGTTAGTTGATAGAGTAAGGGGAAGGTACAGTTTACATATCAGGAAGGATTGATGTAAGATAAAGCAAGTATTGTACATTTATCTTTCTTTTTGCTTATTTTGTAAAAAAGGAAAGAATACATATACCATAAGGGTCATGTGGTAGCGTAGTTGGTTGAGGCACTATGCTACAAGCTAGAAGGTCGCGGGTTCGAGTCCAGATGAGGTTTTTTTCTTTTTATTTACCTTATCCTACCAGGCACCCTGTGGCCTTGAACTTGACTCAGCCTGTAACAGAAATGAGTACCAGGAATCTTGCTGGTGGTTAAGGGTGGCCAGCACATAAGGTTGACAACCTCACTGACATCTGTGAGACGATTGTCTAGAGAAAATGTGGGAGCCTCGACATCTCACAACTCTCTGGGCCATCACAGCCTATTACAGGGATAGCTTTACCTTTACCTTACCTTTTGCTTATTCTGTGATTAAATTATATGAAACTTGTTCTGTATCTGCATAGTGAAATAGGGTCCCTGGTAGTATGCATTATTCATACACATACAATATATAGATTTCAGATTGAATGAGTTCTTGAAATAAATTAGGAACATATAATCCAAAAGGAGTTAAAAATTTAATCTGTTTGAAGGAAGTTATGTATTTTATTGACTGAAACTTGAAAGTTTAATGTGGTGCTGATGTATGTAATTTTTCTTTTTGTTACTTCAGATGGGGTTTTCATCAAACCTTCAGGGCAAGGCTGCTCACGAAGCTTTGCTCTGTCGGCAAGATGCAGAGCTTCGTCTGTTGGATACTATGCGGCGTTGCCTAGCAAACAAAGTGAAGTGTGATCGTGAATATGCTGTCGCTATTACTTCTGTAGCACTGCAAGGACAGAAGCTGGATCGGGCTGAGGATTTGGTGGGAAGTTTAGTAGCTCAGGCAAGTTACTTATCTGTTTCTCCAGATTGATGTTCATGAAGACATGGGAAGTGTGCAGTGTATTGTAAAGACACACTTAAAAAACTTTGTAAATATTCCCTTGACACTATAATTAACCTTTAAGTGCAAGGTTATTTAAATCCATTTTAAGGGTGGAGCTCTCCAGGACTTAAATGCCCCTTGCTGGGAAGTGTTTAAATAATTCTAAGCATGTTACTAAATATGCTGTAACTAATACAGTTGATACAATAAACTATTTTTTTTACAGGAAGAACATAGTCCAGCTTAGTATAGTGTCAGGGTTGAAAATGATTAGAAAAAGTTATACTTCACAATTTTTTATGCTTACTGTATAAAGAAGATTCCTGCTTCTTCACACAGTGATTCTGCTTTATGGAATCATTCCTCCTTGTCACGTGACTTCCAGATGCATGCCATGAAACAAAAATAGGAACAGACCAGATGCCAACCTTCACACCACAAGTTTCATAGCTTTGCAATATTCTACTCTACTGACAATAGCTAAGCTTGAAGGAGAAGTATTTTTATTATTATGTAGGAAACCCAATCTTTACAGCTATATTTTTTTCAATTATTGTCAAGGAAGCAGCAGTGTTATAACTCTGATACCAAGTACAGACTATGAGGCTGTGCCATAGCTCAAGCTGTTAGTTGCTGGCTTCCCACCATGGCGGCACGGGTTCGATCCCGTGTCTGGTCAAGTGGGATTTGTGGTGGACAAAGTGGCACTGGGGCGGGTTTTCTCAGAGTACTTCAGTTTCCCTTGCCAATCTTCATTCCACCAATTGCTCCACAATCACCCTCACCTATCAACTGTGGCTTATGCAAGAGGCCAAAAGTGGCCGCAGTACAAAGGACTTAGTCACACCCCACTAGCAGTAAAAAAAAAGTACAGGCTATTTCCTTTATGCTGGGTTATTAGGGTATGGGAATTTTGAACGGTTTCTTTTCTTCATACAGTGCCTTCAATATGCTATTTGGAGAGTGATGTATCAGATAGTGGACATTGCCATGGCTGTAAAGTTGTGACCTTTGCCTTTATTTTTTGGGGTGCTTTGAGGAGTAAGACACCAAAGCAAGAAACATTTGGATGGCACAGGGATGAACACTATAGATACACAAATTAGAAAACAACAAGAAATGACATGTGCATATGTACACTGAATTTTACTGTATTAATGCCCGGAAACTTGTAACGCAGCCTACAAAGGTTATGATGGTCTATGCCTTACCACACATAAGCACACACAGAATGGATGCCATTCCAAGAACCACTTCTCTGTATGTTGGGGTTCTGCAAGCATGTAAATCCATCAAAATCTTGATATCTTTTCTTTTTCAAGATCACGGTACTTTCTTGTATTATAAGTATGAAAAAGTTTAAATATTTTGTGTTACCTACAAGTGTTTTATTCTTCAACAAGTAATGAGAAGTTTATCAAATATGCATACTTTTTATATTCTGTGGGCTATGCAGTCTGTGTGGTGGTATTAATTAATATGTGTGAATTGTCACAGGCATGGAAGAACATGCTGGAAGAACTGGAGAACACTGCAAAACTAATCAAACAGAATGCAGACTCGGTGGAGAGCAAGAGCCTGGATAAACTGAATTCTCTTTATGCAGAGAAGCGAAGAGCCAGGAAGCAGTATCAGGAAGAGCATAATAGAATTGCTGCTCAATTCACTCATGTAAGTTCATATTTTACTCTACTCCTAATTATATACAGCAGGTGATTGGAATGTATCTGGCCAGTGATGTGTTTAGTCCATCTTGCAGAAACGTATTTAATCTTGTAAAATAAAAATGAAGTTAACGAGCGTGATCTTCTGGGTTGTATAGTGTTTTGTAGTTCAGTAGAAGTGCACTGACATTTTAGAGGAACATATCGCTTCCTCTTCAGGGCTGAAGAATAAGCTAAGCCAAGAGACCAGTAATAAGCTTGTGGCAACCTCAGATCCAGATTTGTTTTATGTATTTCAAATGTGAATGGGATTATCATTCAGTCCTATAAAATGTTCAAAATAGAACTAGCATCAGAATGTAACTCTTTCTGAAAACATACTATTGAGCAGTTCATTGGTTACCTAACTTTTTTAGATTTGTATTATTTCTATCTTTCCTCCAAGTAGAAATACTGAGCATGCTCAGTGTATCGATAATATCTGACTGAAACTTAGAGCAAGAGGCTAATTGGGAAACAGGTTCATATATGATAGGGTATTATTTGATCTCAGACAAATGGTTTATGAAGATGTGGGCTGTGAGGCAGGAAGGTGTCAAGGTTCTTTGAAGACAGTGTTGTACCATTTGTTTTTCCACAGCACTATGTAGCCAGTATGCAGTAGATGTATTTGCTTAGCAGTTGGGTTTGTAGCTCTACTAAGATGCCTTCCAGAGTCTCGTACAATTAAACATCAAGTAACCTAAAAATTTCCTGCAATAGGAAGGATTCATATGAAAGATAAAACTATAATTTAAAGTTAGCTATTCAGTCCTTGAAAATGTGACAGAGCTAAAGTATGTTGTAATAATGATAATGATGATGATGATGATGATGATGATAATAATAATAATAATAACAATAACAGTAAAAATAATGATAATAATAACAATAACAACAACAATAACAATAATAATCAGCCTTGTATTCGATAAGAAATTGATAGCAAATTAAAGTTCACGAATGCTTCCTATCATGGAGCTCAGAGCTTTCAATCTCCTGTTTGAATGTGTAAAGATTAGATTATACAGAACTGTTATTTTAAGGTGTTCTGTATGGGTGTGAATCTTGGCCTCTTACCTTAAGAGCAGAACATAGCTTGAGTGTTTTCTTTTTCACCACAGTGGACATCAGATAGTGGTCTTCTGAGTTGTGCATCTTGTAGTCCTGTAGGTGGTAACCAGTGTTCTAAGCCAGAGCATTTAGTGTGATTTGTGAACAGGGTGCTCACTAAGGGAGGATATATGGATCTAAGAGTGGAAATAACAAGGAGATGAAGACAATATCATAATGAGAAGTGAATTAATACTCTTCTTCAATTATTATAAGAGTGATCAGTCCAAGGAAGATGACATGGCTGGGACATGTGACACATGGGAGAAGAGAAATTTATACAAAATTTTTGTTAGAAGAGAACACTTGATATGCCTAGGCTTAGGTAGGATGAAAATGTAAAAATAAAAGTGAAGAAAACCAAGTGTGGGTTGTATTTACAATGGAGAGTCAGTAAATAGGTCACAAATGGAAGTAAAAGAGCAGTAATGGACGTAATAGGTTTTCTACGTGTATCACTTGGTATCAGCACAGTCCAGCTTCATGACAGTCTAGGCAGCAGATGCAAATGCACATGTTCAGAGGCTGGTTTCAGTAGTCAAAATTGTGGCCCATGCATGAGGATCATACTACCGAAGAGCAGAGTTAGCTTGTTCATTTTTTGTAGGCAGAAGGACTCAATGGAAAGGATGTTCATAAAGAAATGGTTCCTGTTTATGGTGGAGAGTGTTTGTTGTGTAAAGCGCTTCACAACTGGGTTGAGAAATTGTCAAGGACGTTTGGAAGTTGTAGATGATGCCCAACCAGGTTACCCTGTTGAGATTACTGCAAGAGCAACTGGGCAGTGGATGGAAGAGTTGATTCAAGCTGACAGGAGGATAACAGTAGGCAAGGTGTTCCCATGTTTCACCATACAGCATAATGCATGATCATTTGAAGTTACTGAAAGTGTGCACATAATGGGTGCCAAGAGAACCGAAAGATTGAGAAAAAATGAACCCAGTGGGTCTGTCCATGCAACATCCCTTACAGTATGCAGATGAAGGAGAAGATATGCTTAACAGGATTGTTACTGGGGACAAATCATGGGTGCATCACTACCAGCCTGTATCAAAGCATGCTCAAATGCAATGCAAACATCCCAGTTCACAATCACCAAAAAGTTTAAGGTTATGCCATCAACTGGGAAGGTTATGCTTGCTTTGTTTTAGGATTCTCATGGAGTACTCTTACCCCATTTTCAGAAGCTTGGTGAAAATATGAATTCTGCATCGTACTGTGAAGTTATGTTGAAGCCTCAGGATGCAATTCACAGAAAACATCCAGGGCAACTAGAAAGAGGGGTATTTATTGCTTTCTCGTGACAATGCCAGATCCCATAGAGCCAGAGAAATCCAGGAGAGAATGCAAGAACTTCAGTGGGAGCTTCTTCAACATCCACCTTACAGCCGGACTTGGCCCCTAGTGACTTCCCATCTGTTTTGTCCGCTAAAAGAACACTTTGATGGCAGACATTTTGCTGATGATGAAGAGATTGAAACAAGAGGTGTGGAAGTGGCTGAGACAGCAGTCAAAAGACTTATATGCTGTGGGTTTTGACACACTGGTAAAGTGGTGGGACAAGTGTGTCAGTTTAATTGTTTCTTGCATCCAGTTGTGTATTTAATCAATGTTAGGGTTAAGTTCATCGACCACACAACATGTTTTTATTATTGTCACAATAATAACAACAACAATAATAATAAAAACATGTTGTGTGGTCGGTGATGTTAACCCTAATATTGAAGTGTATCAGTGTTGGTGGAGGATATGTCAAGAAATAAATGTTTTTCCCGGGTTTCATTATCACATGATTTATGTTTTCTATCCATTTGTGACCTATTTACTGATTCCCCCTCATATATTTTTAAGTACAGTGTCTGTTGGTGAGCTCTTGTGAACATGTAATTTGTTATAATTCTGTACCATAAGTACTTAATTACTGATTTCTTTAACATCTCTCTGTACAATAAAATCGTTATTGTACTGCCTGAGATTATGGTGACACTCTGTACTGACAATGTAGTGCATGAGGGCTGCAGATAATACTAATTCTGGTGTGGATTGGCCAGTAGTAAATAATGCCTCCTATTTTTTTGTGTTAATATGTAACGTCTGAGCTGGATGTTGGTAGTGTTGTAGTAAAGGTTGAACCTTCCCGCCAATCTACTGTTAGTTTGGTTGTCGTGCGACAGATAGCGACAGCAGAGCAATCTACCAAAATGGTGTCTGACATAGAAATGCGTATGAAACACAGATGTGTTATTGAATTTCTCACTGCCGAACAAATTGTACCCACTGACATCCATTGACACTTGCTAAAGGTGTACGGAGGCAATACAGTGGAAGTCAGCACAGTGAGGCGGTGGGTAGTGCGTTTCAACAGAGGCGAAAGTGAAGTGCACGACAAGCCACGCCCTGGGCATCCCTGCTTAGCTGCCACTCCTCACAATGAACAGCGCCTCATCCATACAGATCAGCAGATAACGACCAGGGACTGTCAATTCTGAACGCTACAAAACAACGCTGACTAAGCTGAAAGCCCACATTTCCCGAGTCAGGCCAAAGAAGCAGACAACCTTTTGCTTGCAACATGATAATGCTAGACCCCATACAAGTTTGGCGACCACCGCGCACATTGCAAAGTTTGGCTGGACTGTCCTACCACATCCACCTTATAGTCCCGGTTTAGCACCTTCAGACTTCCATCTCTTTGGGCCTAAGAAAGATGGACTACGTGGGCAACACTTTCCAGACAATGATGCTGTCATTGCAGCTGTAAGAAAGTGGTTAGCCTCTGCTGGCGCAGACTTTTACAAGCGCAGTATACAGGCTCTTGTTAATCGCTGGCAAAAGTGCATAACAAATGGTGGTGATTATGTGGAAAAATAACTGTAAGTAGGTGAAATCTTGCTCTATTTAACTGCATTATTATGCTTTCTGTATCTGTTCTAGTTTTCTTTAAAAAAAATAGGAGGTATTATATATGGAACGCTGTAATAGTTTCTCTGTCATCAGTTGTCATCATTATCGTGAAAAATTCTTATTTAGAAGCCTCTTGAAATCTTTGTCATGTATTTTTTGAATGTGGAATGCTATGACAAGATTGTGAGTATGTGAAGTAGATATCCTAGAAATAGAAACAATTCCAATAATTTAAAACATAAATTTGCAGATATATTTAATATTTAATTCGTTTCATTCTGGTCCATCACACTAACAAATTACAAAGACAAAACAACTCCGTCCAGTGTGGCTATTGAAGTTTTTACTACTTGAAAACTTAACACCCTTATATGTTTCGGTCCCTATAGACCATCGTCAGAGGGACATCAATACTTTTTGGAAACTACTACCACAATGGGTGTCTTGAGTGTTGAAATACATATACATACAATGTTTGTAATGCGCAATATATACAAAATCCAACTTTTCCACAACTACAGCATTTTTCTTGGTATATTAAAGTTTTTAAAACTTTGTTATTTAAGTTAAAATTTATAAACCAAGTAGGTTTGTGTCCCTTCTCCTATCATCTTTCTTAATGAGGGCTGAACTTGTGCCGCCTGTCTATCTTGAGAAGGAGATTCTTGGTATTGTCCTGTGTTTGTTCGTGGCATGCTGTGTTCTTTTTACTAACTAAACATTAAAAACAACACAGCACTTCTCTGTTTATGTACTGATTCTTGCCATAGCTCAGGTGTTTATTTGCCAGCCAGCTTTCCACTGCAGTGGCTTGGGTTTGATTCCGTGTTAGGTCATGTAGGATTTGTAGTGGACAAATGGGGCAGCCTTTCTCGGAGTACTTCAGGTTTTCCTTCCCAGTTCTCATTCCACTATCTGTTCCACATTAATTAATCGTATTATGCTGCATAG